GACCAGCATAAACCAGCAAAAGGACCAGCATAAACCAGCAAAGGACCAGTTTAAACCAGCAAAGGACCAGCATAAACCAGCAAAGGACCAGCTTAAACCAGCATCCCAGCGTCAAAACATACCTAACCAGCATATGCTGGTTTTTTCGGGATAGCACATTACTCACAGCAAATATCAGGTATATGTCAACTTGAATAAGCTGTGAAAATAGATGTAATCTTAATAAAGTGGATATTCTCAAATGCAAAAATGTATATGCTTGAGGGCTAACTTTGGGTTTCGCTTACAACATGCAAATATTCCGAAAAAAGAAACACAGTTCTTATTCTTATAGTGGTATCTTATTGGCTTTCTTTGTGATCTTCGTCTTTACTGGTGCGCATCTGCACACAACTCATGACAGAATCTGACAAGAAATAAGTTTGAAAGCATTAAAGCATGATACATTTTTACCAACTCAAAAACATTATTACTGTATTTACAGTATGTTACACTGTGTGCAAAATTGACCATCTGTATTAACATGTTTAGTCAAGTTTGTCTGTGATCTGTGCCTCAAGTAGGTGGTATCCATGTTGGGTCACGAGACCAACACCGGGTTAAAAATTACAGTAAATAAATAATATAATGATGGTAACATACATAGAATTTAATATTCTTAACCCTCAGTGCCAATGCTTTCAGTTAACAATTTAAAAAGAAAATAACAGCTTTACATTTAAAATATACTTCAATCACTTTATATGTGATATTTCATTATTAAACAAAGGTCATTTTAGATATAAATATAATATTTCATAAATTGTATTACATACACAAAATGTAAAACAAAATGACGTTTTGAAGTTGTAAATAAAACAAGGATTACTGAAGTATGTTTTACAATAAATTACAATTTCAGTCTTTATACTTCAAACATTTTTTCTATACCATTTATTTTAGTATATATCTGCTATATAAAATGTATACAAGCTTGCATTATTTTAGATTTTTTGTAAACATCATCATTATCCTGTGCAGTAATACTGTAGTAAACTATAATCACACAACTGTAGAATGTTCTAGAAAAACAAGAACATTTATCAAAATGTATTTCGAATTTAAAGTCAACACTGATAGACATAATTATGAGGGACCTATTAAAAAAAATCCCATCGTGAATACATTTCTGTGAAGTGGACAGAGTGCAGGTGCGTTCAGAAACTTACATGCTTTCGATTTTCTGTTTCCTATCATACACCTTTTACACCTGTGCACCTCTCATTTATCTTTACACGACAAACGACATTGAAGTAAACATTGAAGTATCAGGTTGATTCTGCAAACATCGTCTACAACACCTTATGAGAACTGATTAAAAACAATTCAAAAAGACCCCAGAAAAAAAACATGCCAGTCACATTTCTAAAAAGTGCAACTCTACTTAATAATTTAGGGGTTTTGAGAAACATTAAAAGAATTTGAATGAAAAATAATAAGTTAATACAGAAATTACTATTAATCTTTTACCACATACAGCACTGAGACCACAAGTAAAGTCTCGGCTGAACAAAAAAGTATTTAAAAAAAGTTACCAAGAAACCAATTCTACTTACATCAGGTTATGATCTGTTGTAACTACTGTGATCCCTCCCTCTGTGCTTCAGATTGTTGGATACAGTGTTTGAATCACCTGAACTGAAGAGAATCCTAATGCTGCAGTGACTGAAAGTCTGATTTTACTGATCACTCTCTAAACTGAGCTCTCTGGAGTGGGCAGTTGTTTTACTTCATGTAATATTCCTCTGTTGTGGTGGGCTTGAGGATGAGTTGGCCCTCTTCCTCCAAGGAATCCCCAGGTAACCCCCATCCCCCTCACTTTCACCTCTGAGACCCACATCTCTGAGATCAGGTTCTTTTGGTGAGTCAGAGAGGGACCCCCAGGTAAGAAATCAGTGAATGATGAGAAATTACGCAAACTGAGAAAGTGACTCAAAGCTAAATGGGGGGCTATGGAAACTGAGGGTGGACTGCCTGTCATAAACTGTCTCTCCGTTTGACTGGAGGTCTTCCTGAACACCCACCTGCCAGATATAAAAAACAGAATCGCCCTTTAAAGATGGGTCAACATTTTTTAATGTTGTTTTTGATTATGAAAAAGAAAAGTTGTAAAAAAAAAAGAATGTTTTTCATCATTTTCAAGTTTTTAGCAATGGATTTTCTATAATCAGTACTGTATCATTAGGTCAGCTGTTCACATTGAACATTGAAATATAAATTGGAAAGGTTAATGATTTTTTTTTTTTATTATTTAATAATTTTAACTAAATTTAATGATCAGATAGTATGTCAGGAAAATATTTATATATTTATTTATTTATTTCAATATTTATTGTTAAATATTAAAGCATTTATGTATGTAGGCCTAATACAATAAAAACAGGATAAAATTACATGTTAAAAGCCGAGACAAACAAATAAGTTTTGAGACTGGATTTCAACTCAGATAAAGTGGAAGCCATTTTTATTTGGGTCGGGAGATTATTCCACGGAGTGGGGCCAGACACTTCAAAGGCTCTATTGCCTCAGATAAGATGGTGCTAGATTATTTAAGGATTTATAGACAAGTAATACGATTTTATATTCAATTCTATACTGAACAGGCAGCCATTGTAGAGATCTCCGAAGGGCCGTAACATGATGTATTATTATTATTATTATTATTATTATCATTATTTAGTCTGTTTTGATTTATTTATATAGAATATAAATATCAAGGAAACTTTGTAATTTTGCATACTGGCATGGTACCGATGTAAACAACAACGATGACGATGATGATAATAATAATAATAACAATCACAATAAAATAGAAAATTTTATTAAAATACATGATTTATTATTCATTATAAAATATTGTTTTGTTGCAGTTTTATTATGTAATTGTATTATTATTATTGAACTATAATATAATAATAATTGTTGTTATTTATGAAACATTTATGTAGTTAATGATAGTTATGTTATGATTATTTAATAAAACAAGATGATAACGTTCAATGTAATTTAATAAACAATTGTTTTGTTAAAATCATTATTTTATAAATGTATAATTTATGGTTATGTTTACGATTATGTTATGTTTTTATCATTGTATTGTCTATTTGATTTTATGTAGGCCTACTTTATTTATTTATTTATTTGTATTTTGAACAG